CCATGGGCATCCAGATCCTCGTGTCCACTAGTGATGTCAGCTCAATGGCAGGGACGGAGCGTCTCATCAGTGAGGCCTGCCGCTTGGGTCAAGTTGGTGGCATCTTCCACCTTGCCATGGTAATATTCAGTTGTTGCTTTCAGTTCACTTTCTTTGTAGTCAAATTAAAGACAAATACATAACTGATGTTTTTCTCTATCAACTAGGTCCTCAAAGACGGCATGCTGGAGAATCTGACCCCACAGCACTTCATTGACGTCAACAAACCCAAATACGGTGGAACCATCCATCTAGACAGGTAGGGAATGGTTTGACTGAATCTCTCCTTTCTTCAGCTGTTCACTTGTGGCTTATTACGAATTTTAATAAATGATTCCTTTTCCACAGCGTGACTAGGCAGAAGTGCCCAGAGCTTCAGCACTTTGTGGTGTTCTCCTCAGTCAGCTGCGGCCGAGGTAATGCTGGCCAGAGCAACTATGGCTTCGCCAACTCCACCATGGAGCGAGTGTGCGAGCAGCGCCGACACGACAACCTGCCGGGCCTGGCCATACAGTGGGGCGCCATTGGAGATGTGGGTGTCGTTTTGGAGACCATGGGTGGCAATGACGCTGTAATTGGTGGCACGTTGCCGCAGCGCATGTCTTCCTGTTTGGAAGTACTTGATAGGTTCCTGTGTCAGCAGCGGCCTGTAATGTCCAGCTTTGTGTTGGCGGAGAAAGTGGTGGTCGCTAAAGGAGAAGGAAGTGGACAGAGGGACCTGGTGGAGGCTGTGGCTCATATTCTGGGTAAAAGCTCAGACCTGAAATGTTTAAAGTCTGATAAGCTGCACTTTTTTCATGCTTTTTAAAGTTACAGTGTCGCCTCTTTCTCTCAGGTGTGCGTGACGTGAGCAGTCTGAATGCTGACACCTCATTGGCTGATCTGGGTCTCGATTCGCTGATGGGTGTTGAGGTTAAGCAGACACTGGAGAGGGACTATGACATTGTAATGGCAATGAGGGAAATCCGACAGCTAACCATTAATAAGCTACGGGACCTTTCCAGCCAATCAGGAGGAAAAGAGGGTGAGCGTGTGATTTGTGTCAATATCGATAGCCTGATGTTTTGTTTTGTTTTTTCCAGAACTTATTTTGTTATCCACAGTATCTTGAATAAGATATTGGGAAGTTGCTAAAAGATTAAATAAATTGATAAATTCAGGAGATGTAATTTCATGTTTTGTAAGATACATTGAATTATTTGGAGAATAATGCATCAAATTCTCTCATTCTGTTTCTCTCAGAGTCCCGAGCTGCTCCTGCAAAGCGATCTGGTGCTCAAGCTCTGCTGGAGTCAGA